AGCCTTTGCCACGCACCCATTTTCCAGCTGCGACAGGATCCGGTCTAGAACAGCGGGGAAAGGGGGCCTCTGAGCATGTGCAGAGTGGTAGGGCGCCAGGGACCATGACACGGTTTTAATCTTCTCCTGAGGCCCAGTGAGACATGGTATGAAAAAGCCACCAGAGCCCTTTCCGTATTTAATAATAATGGGGAGGGGGGCATTGATAGGTTTGCCAAAGCGTCTGAGTATGCTATTTTTGAGGTTTAAATTGTGGGCATCCATCCAAGGCTGCTTCTAGAGTGGACTAAGGCCAGGCCCTCATATGTGAGCAGTTTTTGCTCCCTTCTCCTTTACTGGTAATAGGGAACAAATAAAAACAGAAGGAAAGAAGGCCAGCCTTGCCCCCTCCCCCCCCCCACACACACCTCCCATCACTTGCCACTGGTTACTCTTGTTACCAATGACTTGTTTGGACAATGTGCTTGGGAAGGTCACTTCTATACCCAGCACCTGCATAACTGCAACATGCTAAACATTACTTTTACCTTGAGTTCGTTTTTTATTTATCGGTTGTATGAGTTTAGAACTTGGGTTAGTTCATGGACCATTACATGGATCAATACAAGCTGTTGGCCCTCCAGCAAACTCAGTGACTGCATTCACACAATGGCCTGCTTATTGAACGAATTGCTACATTTCTTGGGCCCACAGCTTGTGAAATACCAAGCCGTCAAAGACTAGATCTGATGCATTATCTCCAGCATAAGGTGTGCTTTTTCCAAGGCCTACAAGGACAGATGCTTGTGGAAAAGGATTGAGAACAAAATGGTGGACTAGAAGGTCTTTGGTCCAATTCAGCAGAGCTCTCCTCGTCTTCCTAACATGGAATAGAGCCCATTTTTATAGTGAGGGTTACATTCCTGTTCGGGTCATCTGTAGGGATCCACATGTTGATGAAGGTGAAACTTAAGCAAATAATATGCCAGACAAGTAATATGCTGGACAAAAACTATATATAT